ACAATATATATTTTTGAAAGCATTCTTACTTTACAGCATTTTTTCACACCTGCCTAAAACTTTTGCACAGTACTGCAGATGCAATGGGAAAGATGCATATGCTACATTTATATAAGTGATGCTGTAACTGCAGAGCCCTGCTGAAGGAAGGCAGCAGTCCTAGTTCATGCATAACATTTGTCCCAAATTCCATTTCTTCTATACCAAGCCTCTATGAAATATTGTTTCTTTAAGACCATTACTTCAATTCTTGAAGTATGAATGGTCTTATAAGAAATATATATATAAATTATACAATATAATGTAATTATGAAACCAAATGATAAATAGTTTTATTAGGGAACCATAATGTTCAATTACATAAGAATAAACCTATTTTCTTACAAATTACCCATTAATTTCCAAGCTTCTACTCAGTCAATTGTGCTTTTGACCCATCCTAGCTTTACTACCCAGTAGTTTCATTTTTGTCTACATTTCCCAAACTTACTTTCCTTCTAACAAAAATTATTTTCTAATGTACTGGAGTCCATGGTAAATCAGAATCCTTACCTTCAATTATATTTTTTGGATCTTTTTGAGTGGGAGGTGTTGGGCTTACTGCTTTTTTCTTTTCCCTGTCAAAATGTACAGTATTAGTAATATTGAATCTAGATCTACAAATTCAATGTCAATTCAGGCAAAGTTCTAAAAATGATTCTACCATATCATGATTAGTTTATATTAAAAGAACAAAATCCTATTTTAGTTAATACAATGTCTTAGTTAATATAATGGACTATGATAATTTGAATATTATATCTTATGTGAAAGACAGTATTCATCTTCACTGCTCTAAGAATAAACACCAAATAACAAAAAAGCCAAAATATTGTTTAAATTACTTAAACATATTTTTGGTAATTCCTGTTGCTGACTCATGTTATTTTTCATGTTGTTATATTTCTTAAAAAATAAAGAATTTCTGATGTCATTTTCAAAAATTATTATGTCACAAAATATAATGCTGAGAATAGTGAAAGCAGTATTAAATCCCAAACTGTGAGTCAACGTGAAGATGACTAGAGAGCTGCAGTAGAAGAAGAAAAATCTAATCTGAAACCCTCACTTCAGAATTGGAAGCTCACTGGATAACTGACAGATCAGTCATTAGTTCTTCTCTGTAGCAACGCCTGCCCTCTGGAATGAATTTTCCCTCAACATCTAGATGGTCCCCCACTTGTTTAGAAGAGCCATAAAGAACCAGCTCTTCACCCAAGCTTTGGTGAGGGACAGTGAGACCCCTTGCCTCATCACACTTGACATTTTTTATCTTTATCTTTTCTGTTTTGTTGATTGTATTAAGTTTAATAAATTATTATTATTATTAGTTTTCAGAGTAACTTAATTCTCTGAGCTGCTGGGAGCATAAAATGGTAGGAGAAAAAAATGTAATTACCCTTAGGGGTATATAAATCAGTATGCTGATGATACTCAATTACATATCTCCATCCCTGGTGAGGTAAGTGATGCGGTGACCACCCTCTCGTGGTGCCTGGAGGCTGTGAGGGTCTGGATGGGGAACAACAGGTTCCAGCTGAACCCTGGTAAGACGGAGTGGCTGTGGGTTAATGGCTCCTCTGTATCTGAGACATTGTCATCATTGGTGCTAGATGGAGTAGCACTGCCCCAGACAGACCCAGTGCATAATTTGGGGGTCCTCCTGGTCTCACGGCTCCTGCTCAAAGAGCAGGTGGCAGCCACGGCCAGGAGGGCTTTTGCACACCTCCGGGTTATGCGCCAGTTACACCCTTTCCTGGATTGGGATGCCCTCCAAACGGCCACTCATGCCCTTGTTATCTCCCAGATAGACTACTGCAATGCGCTTTACATGGGGCTACTCTTGAAAAGTATCCAGAAGCTTCAGCTGGTCCAGAATGCAGCCACGCGAGCTATTTTTGTGGTCCGAAGGACCCATATAACACCATTGCTCTGTGAGCTGCATTGGGAACCGGTTTGCTTCCGGATCCAATTCAAAATGTTCGTTATCACCTTTTAAAGCCCTACATGGCATGGGGCCAGGCCACCTGAGGGACCGCCTCTCCCCCACGATTTCAACCCGACCCACCCGATCACACAGAGAGGGCATGCTCCAGACCCTCTCGGCAAAAGAACTCCGACTAGCGGGTCCAAAAGGCAGACCTTCTCTGCTGTAGCCCCTGCCCTTTGGAACATCTTGCCCCCGGTGGTGAGACAGGCCCCCTCACTCCTGGCCTTTTGGAGGGACTTTCGTAGGGCTCTGCCATCTGGCCTGGGATGGAGAGGGAGGTCATCAGATATGGGGTTGGCCAGCCCCCAGAGGCCTGGTGTTGCTTCCATCAGCCTCCTGGATTTTTCCTCTTCTTTTTACTCTGTGTAAATGTGTTTTTTTATAAATTTTATGTATTTATTTATTGTTTTAATCTGTTGTAAGCTGCCCAGAGTCCCCCATTGTGGGGAGATGGGCAGGGATAAGTTTGATAAATAAATAAATAAATAAATAAGTTTTTAAGTTCAAGGAAACCAAGAGCATGTTATCATGAGGGTTGAGTAGATTGTAATTAATCAGCAGACCTATATATGTTGTATATTACATTTCTTCTATGTTTTATAGTCGTAGAATACAAATTGTTAAATCCCTCAAACTTAAGGGACTAGAAATGCTTATATCCAGTTTGTCGTAATACCCCTTAAAGTGATGGTATTATAAATGCTAGAATCAGTGATTCTTAAACTGTTTGACCCAATTACCCCCTTTCCCAGTCTCAAATAATGTCATTACCACAACAATAACAACAAAAAACCCACTTTGTTGTTTTACACAAATGTCCCAGCATCAGCAGTGCCAAACTAGATCCTCAACTCACAAACAAGCAATTACATATTGCTTCATTACCCCCAGGATATGCCGAAATTACCCCCAGTTTAAGAACCATTATAATAGCATGTGGCAATGACCTTGGTAGACAGGAAGAAGAGGCGCAACCTAGACAATTGTCATGCAAAAAGTATCTCAGCCCACAGAAGGAAAAGGGGCAGGGGAGCATTTCAGAAGGGACCCTCCCTAGTTCTCTTGAAAGTAAAAATAAAGGAGGGGAGAAGTGCTTTTAGATTTGCAAGATTCTATAACTATAACCTTACAATAAAGGTAGTGCTAGTGCTCATGGTTTGTGCTGTCAGGATTTTCTTTTTCATGGGAAAGGATTCATCCCGTTATCTTTACAACAATAACAAATAATATTTTGGCTATAG